CAGTCAGCACAGAGCCCGACGCGGGGCTCGAACCCACGAACCGCGAGATCATGACCTAAGCGAAAGTCGGACGCTTAACCGACTAAGCCACCCAGGCGCCCCCATTGCTTTTTAACTCAAAAGGTCTTCATGACAAAGTGGCCCCTCTTGGGGCGGCCTGCCTTTGGCCCCTATAGGGTCTAGGGGAGAATCCGTTCCTTGCGCTTTCCAGTGTCCAGAGTCAGCCTGCGTTCCTTGGCTCTTAGCCACGTCGCTCTGACTTCTTCTGCTTCTGTTCCCATTTCCACTTCTCTGACTCTATTCCTCCTGCCTCCCTCTTATGAGGACCCAGGTGATTACCTTGGATCTTTCCTGGTAATCCAGGATAACTTCCACATCTCAAGATACTTAATGATACTGACAATGTCGCTTTTGCTCTATAAGGTACCATAGTCACAGGTCTGTGGGGATGAGGGCATAGAAACCTCTGGGTGGGGGGGACCACTATTCTGCTCCCCACACTGAGGTACAGGAGCTCTGAGAGCTACAGAAAGACCGGCGAAACCCTCTGGGCCACAGATCTGGACTGGCACTAGCCGTGGCCGCCGTGAGTAGGTCATCAGGTTCTAGAAAAGAACATAGAAGCCAGAACAGGCTCTCTTCATCTCCAGCTCAGCCTGGTTTCCAAAACCTGCTTGGTCCCCGAGGAAGTGAGATACCACAGGTTCCCCTATCGGTTACTGACATTTCGTCTCTTAACATTAACTCAGGTAATGACATTGACCTCTTCTGTGCCGGGGGATGTTTTGAGAGTTCCATGAAGGTCAGCTCATTTCCCGTCAACAACAGGAACAGCGCCACCACCAGCAACCACGCCACAAGGTACGCACTATTGTCATTTCCACTGGACAGATGAGGAAACTGAGGCACAGAGAAGTTAAGGAACGTTCCCGAGGCCACACAGCTAGGCTTTGAAAGGGCTACGCTCTTCTGTAGTGAGGCCGGCCTGGATCATTACACGGCATTCTTATCCCAGTTTCCCACACTGTTGGTGTCCAGAGCACACGCTCCTCCTCTTCCTGGGAGATTTCCTGAATTTTCCCAGAGGACTGGGAAGGAGACTTGAGGGGAGAGAGCCACCTTGTGGCGAGAGAGGGAATCCTAGAGCCTGGCCCCGTTCTCCATGTGTTCTCTCCACTGGGCCGGCCCTGCTTTCTGGTGTTTCAGGTCTTGAAAGTACTGACATACCAGTCATTTATTCTATTTTATTTAAAATTTTTAAAAATTTTAACTTTTTTTTTTTAAATGTTTATTTATTTCTAGGAGACAGAGAGAGAGACAGCGTGAGCAGGGGAGGGTCAGAGAAAGAGGGAGTCACAGACTGAAACAGGCTCCAGGCTCTGAGCTGGCAGTCAGCACAGAGCCCGACGCGGGGCTCGAACCCACGAACCGTGAGATCATGACCTAAGCGAAAGTCGGACGCTTAACCAACTAAGCCACCCAGGCGCCCCAAAAATTTTAACTTTTTAATTGGGGTATAACTTAGAGCACAAAGCTCAAGGATTGTAGGTATATATGTATACATGTACATACATATGTATACATATGTGTAACTACCACCTAGGCCAAGATACAGAATATTCTTTTTCTTTAATTTTGTGTGTTTATTTTGAGAGAGAGCAAGTGTGGGTGAGGGAGGGGCAGAGAGAGGGAGAGAGAGAATCAGAAGCAGGCTCCACACACTGTCACTGTGGAGCCTGAGGTGGGGCTCGAGCCCACAAACCACGCGATCATGACCTGAGCTGAAATCAAGAGCGGAAAACCCACTGAGCCCCCCAGGCGCCCCTAGAATATTCTCATATTCTAGAAGATTCCCTCACGCCCCCTCCTAGTCAACACCGCCCAGAGCTAACCACCTTCTGAATTCTCTCACCACGAATTGAGTTTGCTTGTTCCTGATCTGTGTATAAAAGGAATCCTACAATTATGTACCCTTCTGTCTCTGGCTTTGCTCACTCAACATTATGCCGCGAGGGTCCATGCTGTCGTTGCATATGTATTGTTTAAAAATTGCTTTTAAAAATTGCTGCGAAGCAATTCATTTTATGAGTATACCACATTTACTTCCCAAGTCTGGTGGTGGGTGGGCATTCGGCTGTTTCTAGTTTTCAGCTATTATGAACAGAGCTGCCGTGAGCATTCTTGTGTGTGGACATAGGCAGTCACTTTTCTTGGGTATAGACCCGGAAGTGGAATTGGTAGGTCATAAGGCACACACGTGCAGTCTTGGTAGGTGCTGCCAAACGGTTGTTCCGAAGGGCATACTGGTGTTTTTGATTCCGTGATGTTAAGGATTTCGGTATTTTGAAAAGAGCCAGAAATTGGAGTCGTTTGTCCTAAGATGTCTCCAGAAAATCAAACTCTGCTTTAAAAGTTTGTCTTGAACAAAGTGTGCTCATCTCTGCCTATTGCCTTCCCTTGTTTGCAAAGCTGCCAAAGTAGCTTATTGTTTAGTTTGCATTTAGTGGGTTTCTGGGAAGAGAGAGTGCACATTTTCTTCCGGTCTCCCAGCACACTAGATGATTTACGGGTGAGGCTGTGCTCCAAGGGGCTGGATCCATTGCAGACACTGACCCCAGCGTCACCCATCACAGACTCTAGCTCCAAAGAGTCTCATTTACATAGACTGTTGGGCTAAGACCCTGCCTCTCTTCCCTTAGGATAATTTTTTTTTTTTAAATCAAGACTTTTGGGATGCCTGGGTGGCTCAGTCAGTTAAGTGTCTGACTTCTGCTCAGGCCGTGATTACAGTTTGTGGGTTCATGTCCTGCATTGGGCTCTCTGCTGTCAGCATGGAGCCTGCTTAGGATCCTCTGCCCCCCTTCTGCCCCTCCCCCACTCACGTTCTCTTTCAAAAATAAACATTAAAAAAAAATCAAGACTTTCTTTCCAAATTATCCCATTGGGACCTAACACCTGTTTGAGCCCTGGAGGAATAGGGCAGTGGCCGAGGACGCTGTATAGAAGATACTAGTGACCAAAGTCATTGAATATTTACTGGGCACTTATTCTCTTCTAGATACTTTATAATCATGGGGCTACATGATTATAGGAGGGAACAGAACAGACAGAAATCAGGCCCGTGTGAGGCTTGTTTTAAGGAGGGAGACAGTAATATAAACAAGTATGATCTATGATGGCAATAAGTACAAAAGGGAAAAAAATATGGGGAAGAGGGAGTGTCTGCATGGGTAGAGAGAGGATGGTTGCAATTTTAAATAGTGGGGGGGGGTCAGAAAAGGCCTCATTGAGAAGGGGACATTTGTGTAAAGACCTGAAGGAGGTGGCATTGTAGACCAGAAGGAGCAGTAAGTGCAAATGTCCTGAGGTGGGAGCATGCCTGGTGCATTGGAGGAACAGGAAGGCGGCCGGTGTGACCTGAGTGGCCCAAAGGATGTGACTTAGGAGATGAAGTCAGAGAGATAAGGGAGTGCGGCAGAGAGTGTAAGACCTTGTAGGCCATTATACGAACTTTGACTTTAACTCTGAGTGAGAGGAAGAGCCATTGTAAGGTTTTGAGAAGAGGTTTCAAAAATTATTTTAATGTGTGTTTATTTTTGAGAGAGAGAGCGAGCACAATGGGGGGAGGGGCAGAGAGAGAGGGAGACACAGAATCTGAAGCAGGCTCCAGGCTTTGAGCTGTCAGCACAGAGCCCTGTGTGGTGGGGGTGTTGAACTTGTGAACTGCAAGATCATGATCTGAGCGGAAGTCAGACGCTTAACTGAGCCGTCCAGGTGCCCCAGAGAAGAGGTTTTAGACTCATTTCTTTTTTTTTTTTTTTTTTCAAAGTTCTTTTCTTTATTTTTTTATTTCTAGGAGAGAGAGAGAGAGACAGCGTGAGCAGGGGAGGGTCAGAGAGAGAGGGAGTCACAGACTGAAACAGGCTCCAGGCTCTGAGCTGGCAGTCAGCACAGAGCCCGACGCGGGGCTCGAACCCACGAACCGCGAGATCATGACCCAAGCGAAAGTCGGACGCTTAACCGACTAAGCCACCCAGGCGCCCCTAGACTCATTTCTTAAAAGGATCCTTCTGGATGCTTTGTTGAGAACAGAATGGGGTTGGGGGAGGGCAATGGCCAAAGCATGGAGACATTGACTATTGCAATAATCAAGGTGGGAAAAGTGGTGTGTGGGGGGCGAAGCAGAGGCAGTGAGAAATGGTCAGATTCTAGAGGAATTTTGAATATCTGTGGGATATGCCAATGGATTGAATATAGCATAGGAGAGGAAGAGAAGATGATTAAGCATAACTCCAATGTTGTGGTCTGAGTAGCGCACTGAAAAAAAACTTTTTATTACGGGCAGTTTCACACATGTACATAAGTAGACAAAAGTAGTGTGGGAAACCCCATGTAACTACCCACAAGCTTCAATAATTATCACCTTATGGTCCATTTCATTTTCTCCATGCCCCACCCATTCTCTGTCCCATACGATATTGAAGCAAGCCTCAGTCTTTTTTTCATTAAATATGTAAACCCTTCAGGATATGCCTTCAAGGAGATACACTTCCCCTTTTTAAACTAAACATGGCACCAAAAAAATGTATTATTCCTGTTAACAGTTGACCCTCTCGCAGAGTCTCGATCGTGCCACAGGGAAAATCAAGTAAGGCTGTTTGAGGCGATCTCTTCATAGCAGGAAACTGGTTAGGCTTACGCAAGGATTGTGACAGAATAGTTCAGGATTAGGGGCACCTGGGTGGCCCAGTTGGCTAAGCGTCTTGATCTCGACTAAGGTCATGATCTCATGGTTTGTGAGTTTGAGCCCCGCATCGGGCTCTGTGATAATGGCACGGAACCTGCCAGGGATTCTCTCTCTCCTTCTCTCTGCCCCTCTGCCGATAGTGGGGTTTCTCTCTCTCTCCCTCTCTCTCTAAATAAGTAAATAAACTTAAAAAAAAAGTTTAGGATTAGACCCCACAACAAAATGGGGGCCTTGAAACAGTCTCAATAAGCAAGCTATTGTCCGATAAGTGAGCTTTTTCCTTCTAGGCAATACTTTCTTGGAACAAACCATTGTCGCGTTGAAATACATGATTTTAGTTCTTACATCTAATAGAGTTTAAAATACCTAATATGGTTAAATAGCCAGTCGATTAATGGATTTGCTTTTCAGTCTCCAAAAAATATTTTTCCTGGTTTTTCAAGTCAGGCTCCAAGTGAGGTCCACACACTTGTTTTTGTATGTTTAAGTCTCTTGTAAGTTATAGCTTCTCATCTTTTTTTCTTCCCTCTAAACGTAATTTTTTTTTACAAAGTCAGGTCATTGTCTTCCAGAGTTCCCACAGTCTGGATTTTGCTGACTGTGTACATTTGGTGTCACTTAACCCATTCCTTTGCCCCACAAATGCCCTTTAACTTGATAGAGCTGTTGATCTAAGCTTACAAAAATATGACAAACAGGGACACTTGGGTGGCTCGGCCGGTTAAGTGGCCGACTCTTGATTTTGGCTCAGGTTATGATCCTGTGGTTTATGAGATCGAGCCCCACCTCAGGCTCCAACTGACAGCATTGAACTGGCTTGGGATTCTCTCTTGCTGCACCCCCACCCCGGCCCCACACACACAGGTTCCCTCTTTCTCTCAAAATAAATAAATAAAGGGCGCCTGGGTGGCTCAGTAGTTAAGCGTCCGACTTAGGCTCAGGCCATAATCTCACGGTTTGTGAGTTTGAGCCCTGCGTCGGGCTCTGTGCTGAGGGCTCAGAGCCTGGAGCCTGCTTCAGGTTCTGGGTCTCCCTCTCTGCCCCTCCCCAGCTTGCATTCTGCGTCTGTCTGTCTGTCTCTCTCTCTCTCAATAATAAATAAACATTAAAAAAA